TTCAATAGTTACTGCCTACACTTGGCAGGTTTGAACTCCACTGGTCACGTCTGTAACTTTTTAAATTCCTCTTTAATGTTTAGCCAGGAGGTACCTTGTCTACTGAGTTGAGTGTGATAAGTAGTGTGTAAAGTTATCTGAAAGTGAGTCAACAATTCAGTAAGCATCTGATTGGTACAAATCGATAATCGAAACTAAAATTGTGAGTGGTCAGTTTAAGGTTTTGTCAGGAGGTACTTTGTGTGCTTGGGAGAGTGTGAGAAGTAGTGTGTGAAGTTATCTGGAAGTGAGTCGACAATTCAGCAAGTGGTCCGATGGTTAGGCGTTTTCGCACAATACCGAAGGTCCCAGGTTCGAATCGTGTGAGGTGCAGGAGTCGTGGATGCGCACTGTCACTGAAGAGTCCCATACACCAAGACGAAACGGTCGTCTTTCAGTGCTTACAGGTTCCTAATCGTGTTGTAGTCTAACAATGATTGACTGATGATTTCAAATGTGTAAAAACACAAATCTCCAAGGCTCTACCTGAAAAAAATTCAGTAAGCATCTGATCGGGACAAATTGATCATCGAAACTGAAAGCGCGTCTGGAATCAGAATTCGAATGCATTACACACAAAAAAAAATTTTAAGGAAAAAATGTCAACATCCTGACATTGATCAAACAGATACAATGAAAAGCGAGAGAGCCAATGAGAGAGAGAGAGACAGCTGGACTGTTGATTAAGTGAATATTACTCAAAGACAGACACAGTAATGAATTTTTTTATTCTGATTGGTTAAAATAATTTGTCAATTCGTAAAAAACAACTGAAATATATTGACCAATTAGAATTAAGATAATTTTCGATACAATTTTTTTTCAGATTTGCGTATAAATAGTTTGAAAAAAAATTTCAAAACAGACATTTTTAATTTAATTATACAGCTTTTAGTGGTGATTAAGTAGAGATTGACTCTGATTATCACTCAAAACTAATGACAAACGTGTCATTGAGATGAAAACAAATAAATTCATGCTAAAGAATCGATTGACTGATGATGAGATGACATGATGTCGAAAACACCAGGATTAATGGATGAATTTTACAGAGTAACTACAGAGCAACAGTGGCGTAAAAAAACGTACAGTTAAATGATCACAGTTAAAAAAAGGGGTGATCATCATGATGAATGTTTCTAAATTTTCTTCTCTGATTCCGGAATTTCGCTGTTATGTAAAAGTACATCCTGTGCACTAGTATTAATAAAATGTACTTTAAAAAATCAATCATCTTGAAGACGATAATCATTTCAAGATATTGACATTCTATTACATCATATTTAATATAAATTTTAACTCATAACAATTAATTTTCTCACGTTGTTGTTGAAATGATTGAAAACTTGTGAAATAAATTTTACTACTGATAAATAGTTTTTATTTTTCTTAAAAAAAAACAGTTTATTTCATTAAATTTGTATTATTGACAAATGTATGCTTCAATATCTAAGGAATGAGAGGTTATTTGAAATAACTTAACAATTAAGTGATTTGCATTACGGGGTTGTTGTGAAGATTGTTGTTAAGTTACACATTTTTTTTGAAACCATGAATCGATCAATGTTAGTTAGACCACCACACCATCAGAAACCCAGGAAGCACTGAAAGACGGCCATTTCGTGGTCCTGGTATGGGAGTCTTCGGCAGTGGTCTAACATTGATCGATTCATGGTTTCCAAAAATGTGTAAATTAAGAACAATATTCACAATCCCGTAATGCAAATTACCTGTGCTCACTAGTGACTAGCTTCGTGAGGAATCTTCTCCGAGCTCTAGTGAAGTTCAACCTGTTCGGGTGTAGACAGCAACTACCGAAGACTGTATGAGGTTGCGCAACGCCGTGAATCGATCAAGTTAGATATTAACACCGTTAGATGCCGGCTCAGTAGTCCGATGGTTAGGCATTCGCGCACAATACCGAAGGTCCTGAGTTCGAATCGTGCGGCGTGCAGGAGTCGTGGATGCGCACTGTTACTGATGAGTCCCATACCAGGACGAAACGGCTGTCTTTCAGTGCTTCCAGGTTTCTAATGGTGTGAGTCTAACATTGATCCATTCATGGTTTCCAAAAATGTGTAAATTAACTGATTGAAAATACTATTATTAATACTAATACTACTACTACTATCAGGGCCACTAATAATATAAAAATCAACAATATCCTCATCTGTTAACTCAAACAAAACTGTAACTATTACGAGTTCATCTTAATCCGGTAAATGAGAATGAGACAATGAACCAGTGTTCGGATAGGCTACTTTGATCCGTTGATCCAAAGAAACAAACGAAAAAGTTTTGATATAGAAAGTGTAGAAAGTGTATTCTACAAACACCCAGCCAGCAAGCACACAAATCGCGTTTATTTATACATCACTGAAACTTCCTTGAGTGAGTCACTAAAATAACACATTAACCAATCACATCGAAGGATTTTCCTGGTGGGAAATGTGATCTCAAGGGCAACTGTGATTAGTCCATGTTCTAAAACATAAAATCCAACATTAAAGTCTTTATCAAGTTAGTTCTTCGGGGATCTAACGTCCCCAACAGTTTAGGACTTGTGACTCATCTTATTTACCAAAACTGTATTCGCTTAAAACTATTATAAACCGCTGTTTGAGTTACTAAATAAACAAGCAGGATATCTAATTATCAAATCAAGTATTTATGTGAAGTGAAATTCGAATTTGGCGAGGTGCAAAAGTCGTGGATGCTCACTGCCGTTGATGAGTCCCATACACCAGGACGAAACAGCCGTCTTTCAGTGCTTCCAGGTTTCTAATGGTTTTTCAATGTGTATCAAAATGAAGTTGTCAATTTAATGCCTTTCAGTAATAATTTTATACACTACTATAAACTCTTGATGTACATTTTCTGACCCCAGCTTTTTTAACGCATAACCTTTTCGTGGCCATCCCCTTGGTTCGGTTAAGAATGATGGATTAATAGAGTCAGCTAAATGGCGTGTAATGATCAACTAGTTACGTAATAATGATAATGTTAATCAATCCTACTAAACCTGCTATTAGAAAGGTCAATACACAATACAACTTTAGGCATGAAGACTAGTAGAACGTCCTTCCAGCTCGTGAATCGGAAACCTAATTACTTACTTACTTACTTACTTCTGTTAACCCTAATAGAGCATAGGCCATCGACCAGTGAATCATTTTTCTGGTTGGCGCTTTTTTATAGCCAGTTGGATTTCTACGAGATGGGCTCGCTAACTCTATGCCTAACCCTCAATCTTTATCTAGGCATAGGACAAGCAGTAACCCTTAGAAGGAACACTGTACACATTGAACACTGTACATATTGAACATCGTACACATTGAACACTGTACACATTGAACACTGTACATATTGAACACTGTACATATTGAACACTGTACACATTGAACACTGTACATATTGAACATCGTACATATTGAACACTGTACACATTGAACATCGTACATATTGAACACTGTACACATTGAACATCGTACATATTGAACGTTGTACACATTGAACACTGTACACATTGAACACTGTACACATTGAACACTGTACACATTGAACACTGTACATATTGAACGTTGTACATATTGAACACATTAAGCGGAATTCGAAAATCGGTACATTTCCATATCAACAGTCTAAAAATTCTATCAAACACTTTGAATCATTCGAACACCAGGATTCGAATCCTGTGAGTATGAGGTGTCATGGATTCGTATTGCACCAAGACGAGCACAACCGTCTTTCAGTGTTTATGGATTCCTACTAGTGATGGTCTTTCCAATAATTGAAAATCTCGAATGTAATACTCTATGCACATACACACAGACACACTTATACACAGCGTGGAGTTTACATGAAATTCGTTTATTTTAACTGGTTTCTAATATTATTACTATTTTTCATGATTAACAAGTGCGTAACATCGCCATGCATCTATCGCATGTTCTTCACCCCTTTCAGTTATTTATATTACAAAATAATTCTCTCATATGATAAATGTCTATCTAAGACATATATATAAGTCGATATTATGTATATAAATGTATCAATTATCAGTGTTATCTAATTTTAAGGGTACGAATATAAAGTTACGTGTTATTCAATCCACAATAACCACACCCTCCCCCCGAAAAAATACTGTCACTTATCAGAATTATGAATGGTCAATTATATCCCCATAATTCTCGTCACCGCCACCACCACTATCTAGTGTATATCGAAAATATATATATCTAAATGTTAATTGGTTAATCGCGGCTAACAAAAAAACACCAATCTACACCAATTAGAATGCTTCTAATCCGACAAACACATACACACACACACCACGGATAACTTATCATATCATGTCGATATTTCAAGTTATAATATGTCCCTCCTCATGTGTTCACTATATTCAAACATGTATCTACTACATATTTTTTGTATGTATGTCTGCTAAGTAAGTCAATCAGTGTGTGTGTGTGTGTATACGAGATATTTGATAAGTTCGTTTTTATTTTTAATGGAAGGTGAGTGAGAGAGCGAGAGAAAAAACACAGACGGACATGTAATTGATGATGATAATGATTATCACTCCTAATATCATCCATCTCTCAGCTGATATACGCACACACACACACACACACACACGGTGAACCAGATATCGTGAGCGCGCGCGCACACACACACACGTATAAATAATAAATATAAGTTGGATATCAGGAATTCATTTTCATTATCCAATATTATTCATGTTATATTTTTAAATTCTTATTATTTCTACGATAATTTTGACTTGGTTTTTTAAATTTTTTAATTAATCATTGGACGTATTTACATGACCAAATGCGTTGAGATAAAATTCGATTGATTTTTTTATTCAAATCACACTATTATTGAATATTGAATATTGATTATTGATTGAATTGATCAGTTTAAACAAATCAAAAATAAAAGAAAATTATTTTAACATTATGGATAATATAACAAATGAGCATGATGATGTTGATGATATGACGATTGTGACGTCACCAACGACTACTATGAATAATTATACTACTGAAATCAATGATGATACTACTAATAATCTTGATAGCACTAATCATACTAATCATGAGATAAATGATCAAAATGCCAAATTTGAAGATGCTGATTCACACAAAACATTAATGCATATATTACGTTGTAAATATTGTAATTTTGAATCAATATTACGTACAAGATTTGATAAACATTTACCATGTTCACAACAATTCCAAACTTATCAATTATATACATGTTCAATATGTTTAACTAGTTCTACATCGAAATCTATGATGGATGAACATAGACGTGTACATCATTCAAATTGTTGTCATAAAGTAAGTCTGTGATAGAATTATACGCTCGTTTTATTTCAAATTGAATAGTATGCATAAGGGAATGATGTTTGTCGCCACGGTACATTACACTTTAACTATGTGTGTATGTATAAGACTTGTGTTTGTGTCTATGAAGCTGCTTATGAGAGTATAGAAGACTAAAGACAAGATTTATTTTACAAATAAATTGATCTTGACCACATTATTAGAAACTTGAAAGCATTGTAAGATGGACGTTTCGTCCTGGTATGGGATTGACTCATCAGAGGCAGTGCGCATCCACGCTAATTCCTGCACATCGAAGGATTCAAACTCGGGACCTTCGGGTATTGTGCACGAACGCCTAATCATCGGACTAATGAGCTGGCCGGCATCAAACGGTGTTAATGTGTTAACTCTGATTGATCTACGGATTTTTGCGCGATCTCACCCATCGTGCGAGGTGCAAGAGTCGTGGATGCGCACTGCCTCTGATGAGTAGTCTCATACCAGTATGAAACGGCCGTCTTTCAGTGCTTTCAGGTTTCTTCTAATGATGGTGTTGTCTAACAATGATTGATTGATTGATTGATGATTTCAAATGTGTAAAAACACACAAAACCTCCCAAAACTCTGCCCGAAAAAAAAATTGATCATGGCCTTAATTGGCATCTGATTTATTCTTTCCCACAGAAAAAAGTTGTTACCCATCTGAAGTAGGTTGTTTAGGGGAACTGTTTACAAACATTTGTATCGCTTAGATAATAAGTTTTAGAGTTCTTTAACTTTCCAGCGCATTTACATTGAAAAAAAATGTAACTTTGGTAGAAATACTGTTCATGTTTTTGCTGATCTAATAATTTTTTTCTGATTAAGAAGTATACTTAAGCTTTATAATAATGTTAAACGATTATCAATATAGTGTGTGTGTGTGCGTGTGAGTGTGAGAGGGATTGGCTAAATGAATAAACATTGTGTTAAAATCATCTTCCTTGTATTATGAAGAAGGTTGTGTTTTATGCTGAAATCAATTCTTACTAATGATTAGCTTAGCTGAGGAAATTCTCCGAATTTGAGTGAGAATATTTGACTAGTGAAGTTTAAATCTATTGGGTATAGGTAATAACTATGGAAGATAATGGGTAAGGTCGCGGGAAAAATCCTTAGATTGATCAAAGTTTGACATTAACACCATTGAATGTAATCCAGAGGTTAGGCATTCGTGTGTAAGACTGAAGGTCCTGAGTTTTGAATCCTGTGAGTAGTAGCAAGAGTCATGGATGCTCACTAAATATGGCTATTTTGTCTTGGTATGGGATGCTCACTGAAGTCAGTGGATGAGGTTACGCAAGACTCTGAATTCATTAACGTTAGATATAAACACCGTTATACTACCAGCTGGATCATTTGTTCAGAGGTTAAGCGTTCGCGCACAACTACCAAAGTTTCTGAGTTCCATTCCTAACGAGTAGCACAAGTCATAGATGCCCAGTACTACTGATGAGTCGGTCCAATACACTAAGACGAAATGGACGGCTTTCAGTGTTTGTGAGTTTCTAATTGTTTGGGCTAACATTGATCGATTCAAAGTTCCACGGGTTTGATTCCTGCGAGGTGCAGTAGTCGTGGATACGTACTGCCTCTGATGAGTCCCATATCCCACTGAATATTCAATATATATATTACTGAGTCACCACTGGAGTGATTTTATTACAAGCGTTTTTTTGCGAGAGACCAAAGGTTCGACTGATCCCTGTGAAGTTATGGATGCTCATTGTTACTGATGAGTAGTCTCAATACTAGGACCAGAGAGATGTCCATTGCTTTTAGATTTCTAATGGTGTGGTTTAACAATGACTGATTCATGATTACAATGATTTAGAATTCCAGTAGTCTTCCTCGTTTTACATTTAAACCATGAAATAAATCATTCTTAGATCATAATTGGAAAACCTAGAAGTACTGGACGGCCTTTTTCACCTTGGTATAGGACTCATCCATGGCAGTATACATCCAGTGATCCAGAGGTTAGCCAATCGTTCACGAGATTGAAGGTCCACAGGTTCCGATTAATGCTTGTGAAGTCATGTTTAGCACACTCTGTCACTGATGAGTCTCAAACAAGGACGAAACCGGTATCCAGTGCCTTCATATTTCTTTCTAATGGTTGTGATAGTCTAACAATGATTGATTTTCATGATTTTACAATATAATTTGTCATTTCTTGTAATTATGATATTTATATTTATTAAACGTGTTAAAAAACAATACATCAATCATAAATTTATTTAAATTTATTTAAAGTAAGGAATTTTAAAAATATTTAATATTCATTTAGCTAAATTATTATTATTATTATTATTATTATTATTATTATTATTATCAATACAGTTCATAAATATGTAATTAGTTTTTTTTTAAAAAAATTGAACGTTGAACAAACATCATGATCAATAATCAATTTAATCAAAAGAAAAAAAATTCCAACAATAAACCAGTATAGTTTGAAGTTTGAACACTGATCACTGAAGTGATTTTTTTAAACGCAAATAAAATATAGTAGATGGAAAGTGCAGAGGGAGGGGTGCTGGTAAGGGGGAATCTCGATGAGTACATTAAAAACAGACCTTGTCTGTACAAAGAAACTGGAGAATGAATTCTACAGTCAATAATTATAATCGGATAGTTTAGTTAAATTTGAATATTTTTCAAACCATGAATCGATCAATGTTAGACCACCACACCATTAGAAGAAACCTGGAAGAAGCACTGTAAGACGGTCGTTTCATCCTGGTATGGGACTGACTCATCAGTGGTAGTGCGCATCCACGCTAATTCCTGCACTCCGCATGATTCGAACCCTGTAGACCTTCGGTATTGTGCACGAACGCCTAATCATCGGACCACTGAGGCAGTAATCTAACGGTGTTAATGTCTAACTTGATCAATTCACGGAGTTGCGTAACCTCATACACAGTCTTCGGTAGTAGTTACTGTCTTCCACCCGAACAAGTTGAACTTGATTGGTCATGTCTTCCCACTAGAACTTGGAGAAGATTCCTCACGAAGCTAGTTAGTCAATGGTGAGCACATGTAATATTGTATTACTTAACAATGTTTACAACCTCGTAATGAAAATTAGAATATTAGTGACAAATGAAAATAGAGTAACCTTATAGAATAAGTTGACAGAGTTTTTAAAAAAACCCTGATAGTTTTGAGAAAGTAATACTACTTGACAATTTTGAAATCATGAATCAGTCAATGTTGTTAAAGTACTGACAGCTTTTTTTTCATCCTTCTGTATGAGATTACTCATCAGTGACAGTGTACATCCATGACTATCGTTATACTTACCGGAATCGAACTAAGAACTTGAACTTCTGAACTAATCTAATCAACTGATATATACTAGTGTTCATATTTTGGAATTACACATTCTCTAGCTCATTCATGATCAACCACAACCGACCCCCACAACCACCACAACGTGTTAACACAATCAATAACACAACTTATCATCCATTATTGTACTTATTGATGAGCAATAAAAATTTAAAAAAATTCTTTCATTAGATAAAGTTTGGTATGTTTTTTTTCTCATTCAACATTACTATTTTAAGTATCTTTATTAATAATAATCATAAAATAAGAATAAGAAGATTTTCGTTTACATTTATTCAAGTTTTTTGTCAATCAATTTTTTTTCTAACTAACTAACTGATACATTCACATGTGAGTAAATAATATCAAATAAAATAGAAAAATATTAAAAAAAACTCACACTTATTTCTTGTGTTTGTTATAACCAAAAATAATAAGTAAGCAAGCAAGCAATCATACCATCCATGATTGACAGAATGTATGTATCCAATAAATATATATTTCGGTTTATGTTATTGATAATAAAAATAATAATGATTTTATACTGTAGAATGTGATATTTATTGGTTATAAAATGGAGTGTTATTTTTATGAGTAGTATTAGTAGTAGTATGAGTAGTATTGGTATGAGTAGATTAAAAACCACATGTTATATATATATTTACGAAATTATGAATCGATCAATGTTAGCCCACACAATTAGAAACCCACAAACATTGAAAGCCGTCCATTTCGTCTTAGTGTATTAGACCGACTCATCAGTAGTACTGGGCATCTATGACTTGTGCTACTCGTTAGGAATGGAACTCAGAAACTTTGGTAGTTGTACGTGAACGCTTAACCTCTGAACTACTGATCCAGCTAGTAGTCTAACAGTGTTTATATCTAATGTGAATCAATTCAGAGTATCGCTCAACTTCAGCCACTGACTTCAGTGAACATCCCATACCAAGATGAAACAGCCGTCTTCCAGTGCTTATGGATTTTTATCTGTGGTAGTCTAACATTGATCGATTCTCTCATTGGAAAAAGTAACCCAACCATCTCCACAACCCCCATAATGCATATTTATATACAAATATATACATTTTTTGAAACCATGAATCGATCAATATTAGACCTCTTGCGCACTGCTGAGAAGTCCCATACCAGGACGAAACGACTGTCCTTCAGTGCTTCCAGGTTTCCAGTGGTGTCAGTCTAACATTGATCGATTCATGGTTTCAAAAAATATGTAACTTAACAACAATTTTCACAATCCCGTAATGTGAATTTCCTGTGCTCACTAGTGACTAGCTTCGTTAGGGAATCTTCTCCCAAGTTCTAGTGGGTGGGAAGACGTGACCAGTGAAGTTCAATTCTGTTCGGGTGGAAAACAGTAACTTCTACCGAAGACTGTGTATGATGAGGTTGCGCAACTCTGTGAATTGATTAAGTTAGACATTAACATCGTTAGACTGTCGGCTCAGTGGTCCGATGATTAGGCGTTCGCGCACAATACCCAAGGTACACTGGGTTTGAATCCTGAGGGGTGCAGGAATTAGCGTGGATGTGCACTACCAGGACGAAACGGCCGTCTTTTTGTTCTTCCAGGTTTCTAAAGGTTGTCTAACATTGATCGATTCATGATTTCAGAAAAAACTATCCCA